CCGAAGATGGGACCCATTTGTCCACTCCCTCTGGTACCTCCACCACAAAGGGTCAAATTTGCAATATTTACAAATCTAATATCAGGCGAAATGAATGTCCGATTTCGATCAAACTTTGCACAACCTATTATCTTAATATAGCCAAAATCAAGTCCGAATATGTGACCCATTGGTCCATTCCTTCTAGTATCTCCCCCACAAGTGGTCAACATTTTCAATATTTATAAATTCAATATCAGTAGTGTTGGTGGTTTATTTTGGATACCATTTGTATTTTGTTTTTGCAAAATTGTCAGGCTGAATCCCAGTTTGTTGTTTTTATAAAAAACAACAACTTTTTATTAGTGAGGAATGTATGGCATTGCTTGCCGAGGGGTAAGGCAGGGAAGACTATAGTTTCGGACCACGCCACTGATCCTCATCAGTTCCCTTAGTTTTTTGTTGGGATATTCTCCCCAGAAGTTATTGCTTCTATACAAAAAACCTTTCATACCCAAATGTCTCTTGTAACAAAGCGAAGTACTTAGCTGACCAACGACATAAACTGCATGAGAATTTCGCTGGAGCCTCACTTCGAGGTTAACAAGGCATTTACAAACATACATTCCCCACTAATAAATAGTTGTTTTTTTTATAAAAACAACAAACTGGGATTCAGCCTGACTATTTTGCAAAAACAAAATTCAATATCATTCGAACGGACTATACGATTTGAAACAAGCATTGTACAACCTAATATCACTGCCAAGCCTAGATCAAGTTATAAGCTTGGACCCGTCCTTCTGGTACCTCCCTCATAAAGGGTCAATATTTTATAAACTTGTAAATTTAATTTGAGAGTTTAAACATAAAAACATATACTTTATATAAAGCGAATAAAAAACCTGTGTATAATTCCGAAGACCTTCGCAATCCATGGGCTAAGACTATATATCTGTCGGCAACACCAACTGACATTTTTTACATGTTTTTCAGTAATATTTTCTAAATACGACGAAAATTGTTCATTAAAATTCAAAGTATATATATATATATGTCATTCAAAATATAAAAACGCTCAGTTTATATATATATATATACACGTGATTACACCACCATGGTTGCGAAATAAAGACACATGGTACAATGTGGAAACGCAGGTGTATTTGCAAATGTATTCACACTCACACGCCTTTAATTGGTAAATTGGGAATTGTGATTAAAAAGAATCACAGCTGGAAATTGAGTTAATAAAGATGGCATTTATAGATTTTCTTTCTCACCTAAACCTGCTCCCATCTACCTAATGAACCTTCCATGTAATTTTTTATTAGCTGCCGCCATAGCTTTTCTGATGAACCTGGCATGATTTTCTTTTTTCAACTTTATATACATACGAACAGCATAGGTGCGGTTGGTGTTGTTGGTAGCTAAATAGCCATACATAAATTAAAATAATTTGATTTGGGCATTTGTTTTGTTATATCTCTTCGCCATCACCATGGAAAATGTGTGTTTTATATTGTTATTCATTTTTTATTTCATTTCCCATTTAATCCATCCCTTGGGTGTGGAGTATAGAGTCGACCATAGTCTGGCCGCCTTTAGAATAAAACACTGTTGGTGCAATCATTAATTCATCATTTTAATTATGGCAGGGATTTTGTTTTGCCACGCTGTCTAAGTAAATCGAATTAATAAAACAACGAACCAATTATTTTTGTGTGGAATTTGTTATTGTGGGATTTAATAGACATGCTAATTTAAACGAAAAATGAAAACATTATTCTAACATTATGTTTACAATGTACCGGATTTCATTAATCCAGTTGGTTTCAATTTTCAATTCCATTAGCTATATATGTCAAATAAATCCTCATAAAGTGAGTTAACCCGGTAAAATATTGTAATGTAAATGCCCCGTTTAAGCTACAATTTGCAATTAATGTTAATGTGTTTGTAAATGCAGTTTTCACTTTTTTTCGAGTAATTCGAAATTTCCTTTTTTTAATAATTTTACAATCCAACAACAATTCCCTACAAAGTATTTTAAGTATTTAGTGATTAGACCATTTTGTAGAGTAGGTGTAGCATGTTCATAACTTATTGTTGTTGTTGCAAAGTATGCAAGAAGGACCCCATAATAGACCACTTGCAGGCATCCTACGGCCACCAAGTACTTAAAATCAACTTACGACTGGGTCATAAACATTAATTTAATATTCCGTATCCTCTGGGTAATTTCTTGTTTTGTGTCTATGCCATGTAACCAGTAAATAATAAAATATTCACATGCATTCCGAGCTAGAACTTTGTGGGAAATCTTCGAACATAAAATGTGTGTAAAAATATCTAATAGAGAAGCTGGAAAATTATTAAAAATTTGACTCTAATGCTCTTACGTTTTTTTGTTAAGTTCAATGGTGGCATGTATTCATTAAATTTCAAGCGTTTGTAGGAAATTTAATACCTTCAGACATAAAGTTTGCGAAATGATTTTATAAACAAAATGAGAACAACTGAAAAATTCGTAAAAAATTAGTGAAAAAGGGTAATTTTAAAGGAATTTTCGATTTTCTGCACAATTTTTAAACTCTAAAGTAACGTTCGAGATAATAGGACAGCGTTCGAATTTGGGAAAATTATCGGGTGTTTGATACGAAATTCGTTCGTTTTTGTTTTTTTGTTTCTTTTTTTACAACAAAACAAACTTTCAATTTAAAGTATGTGAAGATAACTCAGAAAATAATCAGAATAAATGGTAGACAGTATCGATGGAATGGAAAGTTAACTATCTGCTAAATTGTATTTTTTTCTGCACCCTTCAGAGTGCAGATTACTCGAAAATAATCGAAATAAAAAAATGTTAGAGAATTCGGGGAAAAAATCAAATGACAGAGCCCTCGGCAAAAATTCACAAAAACTAGTATAACATTCTAAATTTAGAACATTCTTGCAGATTCCGAAACACACCAGAGGGCCTATTCTGTAACTTGTTAAAAGTTCGATTCGATATTGTTTAATTTTCTTTTCTTATTGTAAAAACAACAAAACAAACAAATGAAATTGTTGTAAAATAAACAATATCGAATGTTGTCAAAAAGTTACAGAATAGGCCTACAGTTGTTTACAATATTTAAAATCAACAGCATATAAACTTAGTCCTGATTTATATTAGGCGAGTTTACTTGCGGCAATTTTTATCGTTCTCTTTTGAACTTGCTCCATGCGTCTATACAAGGCAATTCGGTTTCCAAAATATTTTTTTATTTGTTGTTCTTTCACATTTAAATATATATAAAATGTCAACAAATACGAAATACACAAAACGAATTGCCAGAAAATTGTTGGTACGAGCAATTTTCAATTCTGTACCCCTTGCCCCTCTCTCCTACAAACAAAGACTTGCCGCAAGTAAACTCGCCTAATCTAAATTGGAACTTAGAAAAATTTTAGAGAGTCCGAATATTTTTTTCTGTCTTCTACTAGCCATAATTTGGCCGATTTAAAATGGTAACCAGATATGCCAACATCTGATTGATTGTAGTTATATATATACATTTTTTATATATATACATTTTTTATATATATACATTTTTTATATATATATACATTTTTTATATATATACATTTTTTATATATATACATTTTTTTAATTCGGAACGATACTCTGCAAAAGTTCCCGATTTTGATTCACCTTCGTGGGCACATTCACACAACTTTGTTGTTATTTCGGCAAGAATAGGAAAAGTTTTGTCGAAAAAATCCGAAGAAATATTCGTCTTCGAACACTTTTAGAAATTCGGAAAATAATCGTGTTTTTATTCGAAATTCGGAAATGTATCGGATGTTTGATACGAAATTCGGAAAATAATTGCATTGAATTTTATTCGAAAAAATAATTAAATTTATTTTAGAATTAATATTGACATTTATTTGTAGATTTATAATTTAAATTATTTCAGTATTATTATTTCTATTTGTTCTTCCCCTTGACCAAAAGCAGGCGGCTTTTAGACATTAGGGATGGGTGTACTATTTCTTCTCCTCATTGATAAATTCTTATCGATTTTCCGCATAATTTCGGAAAACTCTGAAGGGACATTCGAAAATAGGAAATTCTAAAAACAAATCTGGAAAATAAACGGCTGTTTTATTCGAAATTCGGAAATTTATCGGATGTTTGATACCAAATTCAGAAAAATAATTAGATTGAATTTTATTCGAAAAAATAATCAATTTTTTTAGAATTAATATTGGCATTTCTTTGTTAATTTAAAATTTAAATTATTTCAGTACAAGCTTCTATTCTTTCTTCCCCTTAATTAATAGAAGGTGGCATTTGGATATTAGGGATGGGTGCTTCTATATCTTTTCCTCATTAATAAATTCCTTGCGAAAAGTTTAATACATTTGTTTAAGTTTTCACATAGACTCCATATAAAAGTTCCGCCTGATTATCATTATTTTGAAGTTTGTTGTAGTATTTCACAATTAGATATTTTGGGATTGCATTTAATTATATTTTGACTTGATTTTCTTAAGTTTCAATTCATTATATTTATAATATATTATGCTTATTTCCCTTTAAAATTTTTTTTTCTTTTCCAAATCACATTTTTAAATTGTCCCTTTTACTGCTTGTCAACAACTAAACAGAAGGAAAAAATCGAATTACAAATATGTGTAGATTACTCGGAAAATAATTGGAGAAACGGTAGACAATAACGAAAATCTACACACAATTAAATTCCCCTTCAGAGTCTGTGCAGATTAGTCGGAAATAATCGGAAAAATACGTCACAGACTTCGAATGCAATTTATATCTTTATTTGTTTAATTATTTTTATCAATATATTACAATATTATAAACATATATTATAATATTATAATTAACATTTCTTCTTTGTTATGTATTTTAGGGGCAAATGGATTATTTGTAAGATTGGTGACAAACTTACAATCAAAATAAAGAAGAAACAAAAACAACCAACCAACAATAAATTCCTGTACACAACAGCATATTTTCTACAACAACATTCTATATGTAAAAAATGAAAAAGTTCACATTTAGAGGTGTTCTTGATGGATTTCGAAATACGGTTCAGCCACAAACTGCACGACAAGAACAGGAGATACATGAAACACTGCGACCTGACCATTTTGCAGTTAAGAAGGTAGGAGTTTTTTTTTTTTTGAAATTCAAAATGTGTCTGTTTGAAAGTGAACTTGAAGAAAAAAAACCAAAATCATAATTCAATCGAATTGGCTATAGTTGGCGTTTGTTTTATTTGGTAGTGTTTATTTAATAGGCTATCATAAGACACACGCGGCTATGGCCGATTTTAAGACTAACAACGATTTCTGCTCTAATTATTTTATATATTTTATTTAAAATATATAATATATGTATATAATTCAAATTAATTTTCTTTTAAACCTGTCAACATTGAAGACATTTCGTCATGGATTCCCCTATTCCCCAACGGCATTTGCATTTGATCCAGTACAACGGCTGTTAGTTATTGGCGATAAATCGGGCAGTCTCAGATTGTATGTAAATTGGAATTTTTATTTTCATTTCGTTGACATATGTATGTTTCTTTTAATATTATTTCCCAAGATTGGGTCGTCCTGGTGTGGACACTCATGTCAGTCATGAAGGCGAATCTGCTTGTCCCGTAATTTTAGCCGAATTTATAGTCAATGATGGCAAATTGGTAACTGTAACCGCTGATGACACAATCCATTTGTGGAATATACGCCAAAAAGTACCTCAAGTCATACAAAGTTTAAAATTTCAACGAGAAAGGTGAGTTAGTTTTTAAAACTAAATTTCCATACATTTACATTTATTTTCCTTGTGTGTTGGTATTGAAATTGCAATATCTCCAACACACAAATATATATATATATATATGAGTCGTTAATTTTTTGAAATAAACTTTTGAAAGTGGTTTAAGTCCATTTTTTTCTTATATTGAGATATTTAAACGTTTGTGTTTGATTTGTTCAAATGGTATTGGTATTAATTTTGTTTGTGCTTTATGCCTGTAAACATAATAGAATATATTGCGTAATATGTTTTGTAAACTTTTTATAAACTAAAATGGACTTAAACCACTTTCAAAATAAACGACTAATATTTATATTAAAAAAAATATTTATATTTATTATTATAATAAAATAATAAAAAAAAATATAAAAACAACAAACTGGGATTCAGCCTCACTTTTTTCCAAAAACAAAAAAATAAAATTAATTCTTATGTAGCATGACATGAACGTTAATATTCCCTAAGCACAATTTTTAAAGGGAACAACGATTTTGAGTTCTTATTTTAAGGCATCAAAAAGTAAATGTTTTTCTTCAAAAAAATCACAATTGAACCATTTATAAAAATCCTCAAAAAATGTTCTAAAAGTCCTAGTACAACAGAAATATTTCCCAAAGAGACGAAATGTTGCCCCCATTTAGCACTTTCCATTATAAATACAAACAACAAGGGCAAATATAGCTAATTATATCTTATGGTTGCTTAAATATTAACTTTCCAACAAGTGTCGTATTATTTCAGTTATGTAAGACTTTGTGATATAATTAATATTCGGTGTTCGCTATTTTTTTTTTTTGGACAAGTACTGACCTGAAGATTAGACGTAATTACATATTAATGACCTATAGGCGGTAGGAATTAAGCGGCTCATAAACAAATATTTGATATAAAAGTGAAAAAGGCCGTAATCATCCGGCCAATAGCAAGCACCATAGCCTTAACATGCTTAAGCATATATTTGTTCTTTGAAAACGTCATTTCGACGTCATATTAGATGTTAATTGCTATATTTTGCGATAATAAGCTAGGACGTAAAACTCGAATTATGATAATATTTTGGGAGGGTTTGTTTGCATGGCAACTTGTAAATAAATAAACGACAAGAAATAATAAACTGCCCAGAGTTTCTTAAGTGTTTACTGGGTTTTGGGGCGTAAACATGTGCGGTGTTGCGTTCTACAAATGTGTTCCAATTTCTGCACATGTTTCACCTATTTAAGCTAAGTGACTGGCGTCATACGATATGACATATTATATTTTTGATTTGCAAACAAAAAAAGGAAAATTTAAGATATTACGTTGTGGATTATGATTAGAAGCTTTAGGTTTTCACCCTGATTGTTTTAAGAAATATTAAGGAATTGCTTCCAATCAATTTATCCAAAGATATGTGATGTATAGGGTTTCAGTTCGTTTGGGGATAATGTGATTTACAAAATTGAAAACTGAAGGCTACCGTCCTAACAACATTTCCGCACAAAAATCTGAAACATTATCACGTCCAATAACCTCACTTATTAACAGAAGAAACACATACCTACTATTCGACCTATTTACGAATATAGACCAACCTCTCTCCACAATATTATCTGAAAATCCCCCTCAGATACAATTAGGACACATTTTGAGAAAGATGCCGGACTACTTAATAAATTATATTAATATTTTATAAATAATTTAAATTTTTTTGTATAATATATTATTTTGCCAAGATGCTACCCAGCTAACAATTAAAAATGTGATAAACAAATTAAATAATAAACCATGGTACAATTATACAACGTAACTGCAATGCTCAGCTGATTTAATTCTATCGTAATACTCGTGTCAAGTTCGATATGACATTTTTGATTTATGTAGAACGACCCAATAGGAAAATTTTGTACACATTATATTTGAAAAAAGAAATACGATAACACAATTTGAGGGAACCAGAAAAAAATACAACACCATTTTGTGAAATGTTAAATATTTATTTTTCCTATATTCCCAAATTTGTAGACGATGGAAAAATATAGTATTGGCGTTTAATTTTTTTCTGAACTGGTTTTACAATCATGAATTGGCATGGGCATTTCAATTATATTAGGGTCGTACCTAACTTATTGCGCTCCGTACAAAAATACTCACCCAAATCCGCAAGGACTTTATTTGCTTCTGCGCCAATTGAAAACGGCGAAAATGGATGACAAAATTTTTTTTAATTGATCGAAAAATGTTTACATTTATAGAAAAACAAAATTTTTAATGACTAGAATTCAATAAAAAAAAACAAAATTTCCAAAATACGCATTGTCAATGTTGAAAATTTTGAACTTTATATTTTTATACGCAATGCGTATTTGGGTAATATTCATTGAAATACATGTAATTAACTTTTGAGGTGAATAAATTCGTACGCATACGCATGAATTTAGGTACGACCCTTAATTTAAAAGAGTACTATTAACAATTATAAATTTTCCAATCAAAGAAATCGCAACAGAAGTTCGTTGCCCTTTGGTTTTCAATTAACTTCAATTTCCTAATGGGAATATTTGAAGCAGCAAATCCCTCTTTCTATCTTTCGCGCTTTTGTATAAGTTACCTCTACATATGGCAATGACTCAATTGGAGGAAAGATCTGGAAGCGATAGAATTATAAATTTACAATATTTTCATTCATGTTTTTCAATTTTATTCTGAAAATTCAAAAATAATGTATTTTGAAATAAAATCAAATTTATTGATCAAGGTCTATAGGTCATCCAGTAAGGACAGCTAGCTGATATCTACATATTTTATCATGGTACAATTATAAAAGGTAACAGCAAATCCCAGCTGATTTAATTCCAACGTAATACTAGTGTCAATATGAATTTGACAAATTATGTTTTTAAAAATCACCCAACAGGAAAATTGGGAACGCATACAATTTGAAATTGTTCTTTATTAAATGTGCTCCTGTATTCAATTTACTCCTGGGAAAGTTTGAGGAAGCAAATCATTCTTCAAGGAATATATATGGCAATGACTCAATTATAGGAAAGATGTGGAAGCGATAGAAATATAAATTTGATAGATTTTCATTCATGTTTTTCAATTTTTATTTTGAGGATTCGAACAAATTTCATTTTTAAAATAAAAATAATTTGATGATAATTTGTTTGTTTGTTTACATTTTTCTGTCAAATGAGTTGACACTAGTAGAAATTACAACAACAAATTTCCATGTGGTTGTTGCATCGTTTTTTGTATATCAACACTTGCTGTTACCTTCTATTATTATACCATGATATTTTATCAAACTATGTTGCTTTGATTTGAATTCCAATAAAAAATGTTGAAACTGATTTTCTATTCAAAAATAAATTTGTTAAAATATGAAAAATATATTTCCAATCTTGGAAAAAACAATCGAAATATTTACGAAAATAGTGTGTGGTGACCAATTCGTGTTGTGCGCGCTTAAAAATGTGGAAAATAGAAAATAATTTCCAAATACGTTCCAAGTACAACTTTTGACAATAGATGTAGGTGCAGTGTTGAACTTTTTAACGAATTCGCCTTTTGGATGACCAGATATTTGGACCATGTTTCGAATGTTTTGTTTACATTTTTCGACATATCAAACTAGCACTAGTGTTACATACAATAACAATTTTCTATGTGGTTGTTGTTGAATTGTATTTGTGTGGTTTTGTAGTTACCTTGTATAATTGTACCATGACATAATATTTTATTATAAATATAGTAAATGATAAAGAAGATCATTATAGTTTGATAATAAAATGGAAGACAGCCTTTTATAACCTAAAACCCCAAAATCCTAATTATAGCAATTTCAATATGAAATTTGAAACACCTTCAAAGTACCGACTATCAAGCGGATTTTTATATGGAATCCGAAACAGATGTGTTAAACTTTCCCCGGCAAATTAATCAATTGGAAGAATAAAGAGAAGCCCCCATCCCTAATGTCCAATTTCCCTCTTCTATTAATGAAGGGGAAAAAAAGAATAGAAGCTGACACTTAAATACAATTATTGCAAATAAATGTATACTTCTTTCTTCTAAAAATAAAATGGATGTTTTTTTTAGAATAAAACATCCAATAATTTTCGAAAATTTTATCAATCAGCCAATAATATTCCTATTTTTTAGAATTTCTGAGAAAGTATCCGAAAACCTTCCTATGTTCGAATGTTCCTTCAGAGTTTTGTCCGAAATTGTGGAAAAAATCGGAAGAAGTTTCCTTAAAATTTCCCTTTTATTTTGCCCGAGTTTCTTTACGAATTTGTATAGAATTCAAGAAACTCAAATGTTCTTTCCGATTCGAAAAGAACTTGGAACAAATTGTTAGCTGGGTACCATGGTACAATTATAAAAGGTAACAGCAAATCCCAGCTGATTTGATTCCAACGTAATACTAGTGTCAATATGAATTTGACAAATTATGTTTTTAAAAATCACCCAAGAGGAAAATTGGGAACGCATACAATTTGAAATTGTTCTTTATTAAATGTGCTCTTGTATTCAATTTACTCAATCTGCCTGCTGGGAAAGTTTGAGGAAGCAAATCTTTCTTCAAGGAATAACTCGCTATTCCCAGCATTTTCATATGTGTTACACATATATATGGCAATGGCTCAATTATAGGAAAGATGTGGAAGCGATAGAAATATAAGTTTGATACATTTTCATTCATGTTTTTCAATTTTTATTTTGAGGATTCGAAAATATTTCATTTTCAAAATAAAAATAATTTGATGATAATTTGTTTGTTTGTTTACATTTTTCTGTCAAATGAGTTGACGCTAGTAGAACTTACAACAACAAATTTCCATGTGGATGTTGTATCGTTTTTTGTACAACAACACTTGCTGTTACCTTCTATTATTATACCATGGCTGAGTACTAGAGAATATAACAAAAAAATCATTATATATGTTGAAATTATTTCATTTTTTTATTTATTATTTTATAATATTTCAATCTGCTTATTTACAGAGTAACATGCATTCACTTAGCGGTGGCGAGCAAATGGTTGTATGTCGGCACAGAAAAAGGCAACATTCATGTGGTCAATATCGACACATTTGCCCTTAGCGGTTATGTTATAAATTGGAACAAAGCAATTGAATTGTAAGTGGCATGCTGTACAAAATGATCAACAAAATGTGATTTTTAATTTTATTTTATTGTCTTTCGCCAATATAGGGGTAGAGCTACTCATCCTGGTGCTGTGATTGCATTATGTGATAATCCAATAGATGCAAATAAGGTCGGTTGGCATAACTTATTTGTGAAATACCAAACATTGTTTTAATTAAACTCTTCTTTCAGTTATTACTTGCATACGAATGTGGTTTGCTGGTCCTATGGGATTTGAAGGGCAAATGTGCCGAAATACGATGGGCTTCTTCAGATCCAGTCAAGTCAATAGCATGGCATTATGAAGGAAAATATTTTGTATCCTCGCATAAAGATGGTTCCATATGTTCATGGCCCATGAGGCCGACCCCAAAACCTCAATCTTTAGTATATCCTCATGGTATATGCACGATCTTCTTAAATTGCTTGTGTATTTGTAATTATTTTTGTTTCTATTCTATTTATTTAGCCAAAACGTCAAGAGAGGGTACAATAGAAAAATGCAATCCCATTTTTAAAGTTGATTTGAAAGCTTCTCAATCTGGGTAAGAAATAATCACATAGTACATTGCATTCACAATGAACATTATATACGTTTTTTTTTTGCAGAGAGACCTTTACGATTTTTTCGGGTGGTATGTCAACGGAGAAGGGAGCAAAATCGAATTGTATCACTGTTATGGTGGGGAAAACCACCACCGTTTTAGAAATGGAACATGCTGTTGTTGATTTTATAACTCTTTGTGAAAACCCTTGGACGAGTGGTAAGTTCTAGTAGAGGAGGCGGCATCAAGTCTTCCCTTTGCTAGTCTGTTTATATGAATGTTGAAAATATGTTAATTTCTTTGTTTGTCTTTTTCCGCTTCGACAGAAACACAAGAACCATATGCGATAGCAGTACTCCTGCAGTATGATTTAGTATTAATAGACTTACTTACACCCGGTTTTCCATGTTTCGAATCGCCTTATCCCATGGACTTACACGAATCACCTGTTACATATTGCACTTACTTAACTGATTGCCCCTCGGATTTGGTTCCTGCTTTTTACTCTGTTAGTAGGCTTGCAATTGAAATGCATAGTTACAATTTGAGATTTGTGGTCAATGTTTAAACGTTTTAATGTATCCATATGTGTGTGTGTTTTAGGTTGGCCGCACTACGACATCCAAAAAAACTGGTTTCTCCGAAAGGGAATGGCCTGTATCAGGTGGAGAGTGGTCGCCAGCGTCTTGTAGTTATGCCGAAATAGTCATAACAGGCCATCAAGATGGCACCTTGAAATTTTGGGATTCTGGTGCGGGATCATTACAGGTACTTGCTCACAACACATTTTGGTGAATATTATATTCAGAAAATAATATTTTGTTTAGATTTTGTATAAATTGAAAACGGCGAAAATATTCGAAAAATCCAAATCCATGCAAACAGACAGCAGTACAGAACATCCACTGGCCATTCAACTGATACATCTTTGTTCGGTGTCAAGGCGTTTGTGTGTGGCCGGTGCTATGGGCCAAGTTATTTTATTTAAATTTCGCAAAGTTGAGACGACTTCAGAAGTGCTGGTTCTGGAGATTCCAATACTCTTTGAAAACTTTGACGATATTTATGGCACTAGTCCGGAATGTGATTTTATACCACATCAAGTTCAAAAAACAGAATCTAGTGAATCCGATAAGGTAATAAATACTTTTTACAGCTAAGAGTGTCTAATAATAACATAATTTTTTTAATTAAAATTCTTGCAGACGGATAACCTATTGCGTGTTAAATCAGGAGCGCAAAGGAAACCTCCTGGGTTTCAGTCACAATTGGTTTGTCTGACAACTGGTCCAAACAAAAGAACTGTTCAAGTGACATCATTATGTATCAGTTCTGCATATGGATTGTAAGTATATTTTATCAGAATAAAAATAACAAACAAATAATTGATATTTGCAGATTGAGATTCTTTTCAAATTAGTTATATTTAATGTAGGTCCCTATGACGATTTAAGTAAACATTTTAAATGTTTATTCGATTTACAATGATATCTCCCTTCTTAAGCGTTTATTAAGTAGTGTAAGGACGTCAATGAAGTAATGTGTAGCCTTCCTACGCCCACACATAACTTCCACGTTGTAGTACTATTGACAGTCTAACTTTTTCCTCTACCAATAATAATTATTTTCTGAGTGGGACTGAGCACGTTGAACTAAGAGTGTTGCTGTAAACATATTCTTTACTCTGAGGAGGCTATACTGTTTTGGGCATATTTCCTACTTTTCCCCGTTTAGTACTCCATTAGTTGTAACCCACTTTGATATAGTTCTCTTATCATTACATAGAAAATACCAAACTGGTATTGTATTCTTAAAGTCAATAACAGTGTTACGGCTTACAAGAACAAACATAATGGTAATAATAATCAAGATAAATAGATAATTTGAAAATAATTTCCTCAGGGAAACATATACATTGCATATAAGCTATGATACTGAAAAAATATTAACAAAATTATTAGCAAAGACATAATTTTTTTTTTTAAAAAACCGTTCTAACTTATATCGTACAAGATACAACTATATTTGTAATTATGTAATTTTTAATTTGTTTTTCAGAATGGCTTATGGTACAGAATATGGGCTTGTAATAATCGATATTATACAAAAAGTCTGCTTACTGAGCATTGCTTGTCCAGATCTGTATGGCGCCCATGATCCCTATTCCCGTACTCCAAAAAGTCCCAAACGCATTGAAACAAAAGATGATCAAAGTCGTTCGCCCAGCTCCGATCAGGTAAGCCAGAAATATCTGTTTGTTCCTTTTATTTTAATATAAAATTTTGTATTTTGTGTAAAATTGATGCTGTTAATATCTAAAAAAAATTACGACAACTACTATTATTATTGTTATTATTATTACTTCAAATGTTATTTTTTGTTTTTCAATACAATAATATATATCTATTAAATTTTCTAAATTCTAAATTGCATTCTGTAGTTTTTTAAGGCAGCATTTAAACAGAAAAAAAACAAAAGCATTTGTAATACTTTAGTTTATTGAATTTGCTTCTTTGTGCAATTTAACATTTTTAGTTATTAATTACTTACATATATATCTCCTCCTTTGTTTGTATTTCACTATGATTTGGTTTGTTTAGTAATCATATTCAATTGAAATTGGTAGATACTTAGATTGTATTGGTACATTGCTAAAGTTTATTTTTTGTTTTGAAATAATTAATTTCTGTTTTTGAACCTTTCTTCCTTTCCGATTGGAATGTTTTTATGTTATGTTCTTATTTATTCTTTTTTTTTTTTGTTTTCCAATACCATATTTTCATCCAAAGTAAAGTGGAAGTGCATAGTTCCCCAATTCCATGAGAAACAAAATATACGATTGCAAAATGTAGAATAAATGTATCCCAATTATTTCCGCAAAATAAACTAAAATTTGTCAACCCCTTTGCTGCAATATTTATGAACCCAAAATAGACTCCTGCTTAATATTAGCCGCTGTGTTAAGTGTGGCTTAAATACAATAAATCCCATTTCCAACGATAATGCAATCTTAATGTACACACCCACATACACAACTCTGATGCATGTTGTCATCATTTGTTTTTTAAGAATTTAAATGTGAGGTTATGGTACGTGTGGCCTAATCCCTAAGAAGTAAGCCCACTTAAAAGTGGTTAGAATGCATTTGAACTCTGTTTTATTGGCAAATGCAGCTATTACCTCTTTTCTCCATTCTCCCAAATACCAATATAATTAATATCTTGATGAGGGCATAATTAATATAGATTAAGAATTGTTTGAACCCCCCACACCTATTTTAATATTTGTAATACTTTTAGTTTTAATTGTTCGTGAACCAACAACAACAAAGAACAGCATGATTTCATTTAAGCACAAATACTACCCGAAGATAATACATATTATTTTTATAAAAAAATCCTATTAAACAAGAATTGCCTACCTCTTTAAATAAGTTAACCAAATATATTGTTGTTGTACCACGGTGAAATTATCTTTGCTCTTCTATTATAATGTCTATCTTCACTATTGTCCTCACACTTCTTCACTTCTCTATTAAACCTATGTTTTTGTAATGTACTTCTACTTACTCTTTTGGCTCTAGCTGAAAACGGAAATGTAAATACATACATAGATATTTGATTTATTTGAACTACTAACAATTACCCACCTGTTTACTCTCTTATTGTCTATTTTTTTTGTCTATTATTCTATAATGGATTGAATTGATAGTTTCTTTCAATGGAGATAGTAATTAGGTTTAGATAAATGATGAAAACAGCGAAATTTTAAAAATTTGTTACGGAATTGTAAAAGAGAAGCTCCGCTTATATTTCACATCAATCCAAATTTTTACTCGTTCGTCTTCAATGTCAAATCAGAAGTTTTTAATTTTCGTTTACTTTACTCTTGGGTCTTGCAATAACTCAATATTAATATTGGAATTTTTCCATGCGGGTCATTTTAAAAACTTATTAGATTTGTCTCATCAAATAAAAAGCATACGTCTGACCTGCTTGAACAAATCTATAAAATTCTAATATAATTTCAATTTTGTACATTTTCATTGATTCCATTAATATTTTTTTTCATAATAAAATGCTATTTAAAAGTGTGAAATATCGCAGTATTGGAAAATTTCAACACATTTTCATTATTGCAAACATAATTATGTTCTAATCGTGTTAAATAATCTAGTCTGCCAACATGCAATTGGTAGAGAGTGCTTAATGTGTTTGTTAGGATTAAATTGAATCCCTAAAATAATTAATTAATTAAGAAACATATTATTAATGGCTTTTAAGTACTTTAGAGCATTTCTGCTACTTGCTTAGAATCTTAGGAAGAATAATCTCTGTCGTTCGATAAATTTCTGCAACATTTTACGTGATAGATCATCAAGGAAATAAACTATCTTAAATATTCGTACTAATGCACCGCAGACCAGTTCGATATTATGATATCTCACTCAAAAGTAAAAAAAAAACATGAGTTTCGTTGAAAATCCATTAGAATTTGCTCATTTCGAAATTTACAGAAACAATGTGTAAATTTTTAGATTGCATTTAAGAAGAAATATTTGAATAAACATTGGATTTTTTTTGGGAATATAATTTTTTAATAGGATGACCAAATTATAACGTCACTTATTTTTTTAATTTTAAAATTGTTATATATAAAAATTATACAAATAATAAAAAAAAAACTTTGCGTCTGCAATTAAGTGAGTTCAGAATTTGTATGACAAAAATTTGATATGTAGAAGAATTAGCAAGTTGTTATTATGACTGTCTGTCCCTAACCTACAAAACTATGGGATATTTCGATTAGTCAAAAAGCTAAACCACAGACCGCTAAATTTCAAATTCTTGACTTAATATTACAATATTTGTTAATCTCAAATACCAGCGTTATAAAATATAAAAAAAAAATCACATTAAAGTTGATTCACACAAATTGGTATATAACAATTTTATATTCATTATAACGTATATGAAAATAACGAAACATTGAATTGAAAATTTGAAAGTATGTGAATACATGCCGAAGATCTATACAATTATGATGAAGTGTACGAATTTGTATTATCTTAATAATAAGTGTTTCCTAAAATATTTCCCTCAATTTTTCGATATCTATTGACAATTAGATTGTCGTGTAAGACTTCGTTCAGATTGTTACTTCAACTTTATTTGTTGTTTTGATCATTGGTAGTTGGTCTAGTAGTTCAAATATTTTATTGAATTTCTTTATTTAAACCCTATTGTATGCTGATACAATAGATCTTTCTTCGTTCTTTCTCTATATTCTAAATTTTCGATGTAGGGAAATTTTAAAACAATGTTTCCAATAATACATAATTGGCATAATTCTCTATGAAATTCATGTTTCGCACATTTCCTCTATAGGCCACAAAAAATATATCCAATCTAACGTATAACACAATAACTACATAAAAACTAAATGATATTAACAACTGGGATAATATTTTAAAAACAAACAACAACAACAAGTATAATACTCACACATTATTCCATATGCATTCAAAAATAAACCAATGCCAATATCCATCCAACTATGGGTGCTTCGTAGCATGGCAATAAAATATTAACAGAAAGGGAAATGCGAAAACAAAAACAGCAACACAACAATAAAATAAATTAAAAAAAACTAAATCCTTATTTTAATTATTTAGTGCACGGAAGATAATTTTGTAATTTGGTCTTGTTTAAGTGTGTGAGCGAACGTTTTTCATTATTCCAACTAAAGTGTTTAAATAAATATTTACTCCCCAATAATATTTACGATAATAACAATTCACTCTCACTACTAATTTAAATACGACAAATGTTTTAATTTTTTTTAGCATAAACTACTGTCAATTTGGGTTGATGAAATAAGGTGTGTGCAAATTCGAAGTGAAAAAAAAATCCAATTTAATTGGATATCCCAATTAAATTTGTTCGATTAAAAATGAATTAAAAATATGTTTGACACATTCAGACCAATTAATATTCTGCGGAAATTGACTTCAGAATTAAGTGTCTGGCTCAATGTTATTCATAACACTGTGTAAAATAGAAATAATTATCGGGAAATTCCAAAAAATTATAATAGAGCGGCTAAAAATAGAAGACGCGTTAAACGACATTTTTAAAGTTTTTGTCGGGAGCTAACCGACTCATTGAAGGGATCTTTTCTGTCTCCTTTTTCAGAAATGATTGAACATTTATTTAAAACGGGGTTATAGCAAGTCAGAGTATTCTCCAAAAATGTTCGAGTCTCAGAATAGACCAAAACTCGAAAATCAACCTAAACGTCAAAAATCTTAGAAATATGAAAACGCAGTTTAGGGTTGTAACAGATCTTATTCCGAGTTTTTACCTTATTTTCCCTCTAGATGTCGTTTTAGAAAGATGGTGTAAAGGGCAAAAATGTTATCCATCAAATTCTAGTATAGGTAATTGACGTAGTATATTTCACTCTTCGAAAAATTTGTTAAAAAAAAATTTTGGAAACTATATGGCGAACATATTTTTAGAATATTCTGACCTGGTATATTAGTTCTGACCGTTTTATATTAGTTTTCAATCATTTCTGGAAAAGGGGGAAGAAAAGACCACCAAGATCAGGAAGTCGAATGAGGGTTAACGTATTAGACAAAAATATTCCTCACATTTATAGCATAAAATATAACATAAAATTCAAGGATTTCGAAAAATTTTAATCCGAATAAGGTAGTACAAAAAGCTGTTTTTTTTTTTGTTTTGTCAAAGGCGTGGATGGAGGTAGAAGAAAGTTAGAGTTTCAATCGCATATCTTCCCAACTACCGATGTCTCTTAATATTTCCGCCTCGTCTTCACATATCGTTTGAATGTGATGCTAATTTTCATATCATGAATTTCCCTCTCGAAGGTCTATGAAAGGAGTCAATCAGACGCATTAGAAAAAAATACGATCTTATGCTGACGTGTCGATCTGATTATCTTTTCTTGTCCGTCTACAACTTTGTCCAGATTATATCATCAGTCGGCCACGAATTATCACACACACACACACACCTATTGAACTCAACTCAAATAGACAGGATAACAAGTATGTTGTAGCTTAAAATACGTTTGTTGTTTTTGTATTAAAACAAATCGTATTGATTCGTATGTTGGTTATTGTGATACAGTCATTCAAATGCATTTGGGAATGAACTAAATAAACATTTCCTAGGCAAACTAAAACCAATTAATTTAAAGTTGAACAGCAACTAAATAATAAGGAGTTATGTGTAACTGTGACTACTACTAGTTCTACTACTACATCTCTATATATCTTTATGTGTATCTGTGTGTGTGTTTTGGGAAACAATTTTGAACGTGCTCTATTTTAATTTGTCCAATAATTGAAACTCGATTTAGCTTCACGACACCACTAGCCCCGATAGTCCATCTATTGAGTACATAGCTGAGGCAAACGAATCGAATGCCGAACAATCGAATCCATCATCTCGGCCTGCTTCGCCGGAGGAGGAAAAAGGTGCCGTTGGTGGTGCGGGAATGTTTGCAAAGAGTCCAATGCGTGACGAAGCGTCAATTCCACCCAAGGATCTTCCCGACAGACGCAAGTCCATGTCTTGGAAAACATTCAATTTGAAACGTCAATTATCCAAAGTCAATATGAAAATCGGTCTGAACATGAGCAATGAGAGTGAAACGGCGGTGCCAAAGAGCTCCTCTGTCTTTTACACACAAACTGAATGCTCGGCAGAAAACAGCGATGAATCCCCACCGAAGGATCCGATTGCAGTGGGTGTGGAATGCAGAGAAAGCATGACCGAGAATAGTATGGCCGAAGTGGCAGATGCTATAGCAGAGAGTGCAAATGTGGGTGGAATCGAAAGGGCCAATAGCAGTGAAACGTCACCACCACCTCCTTTACCCAGCAAGCGTGTAGATTTTGCCAATGACGCCGATGCTGGTGGCCAACAAAATACCAGGCCAAATAATTTGCCAATTACAAGCAGTGGAGGCGGCGATTCAGCAAATATGGCACCGCCAACCCGACCACCACGTCAAAAACTCAAAGAGAAACGCGATCAACGTTTGCTCTCAGTTCCGAATATAAAGTATCAGGTGCGCGAAGCTCGCCTACGTACAAATCGTAATGATTCATCACCGTCGCTTGGTAGTGGTGGTGGCGCTAGTGGTAGTGGTACCGCCGTTACCAAGAAAACCCGTAAGTATATGAACATTTTGCTCATCCACTATCTCGAACACCAACAAAAAAACTTACAATCGCAACAAGAATTTCTACTTGTGTTTGTGTGTGTGCGTGTATATCTGTATATGTGCGGCATCGCCAAACAAGCACGAACGATCACTACTTACCGAAACATCTATAACTATCCAATCCTCCTAGTGGGTGAACTCGTCGTAAAAAGTTGATTTTTACGCTCTCATGAACACGTTTATCTATTGCATTGTTTTGAAATGTACTCGCATGGTGGCGTAATTATAAAACCAAATACGATCTCAATGCAGAGAGTAAGCATAACCTTAACCAAACTTTGTGAATGTGGTGGGTTATTATGTGTTTTTAATTAAAACTAAATATCTGGGATGCAACTGAGTTTGCCAGAATATATATCCGTAAGCCAAATAGATCATCCTCGCTTCAGATATTCTTTTTTTTTGTGTATTTAAACTTCTTTTGATGAAAACGTTTTATAAGGCATCGCTTGCGTCGAGTACATGAAGGACAATAATTACGAACACGAGAATAGTTTACGATTGTGTGTGTTTGTGATGTGTTGTTGTATAGACGTCTTGTATGTAAAGAAATCAACTGATTGGACTGATCTCATTTGGTATATGTCGCACTCTCTAGTCCTCCCAGTTGCTGCCACTCCATGCATCTTGCATCCTCCCCCGCTGTAATAACTACTTGCGTGCGTGTACACTTTTATTTCACTTCCCACTCCCCCTAGTCATCTATATCATAATTTAGGATTTTTTTGTTGGTTTTCTTCACCTCTATATCTATATCATGATCGATCACGCAGTATTGATGTAAAAACTATTATTGCTCAATTACACATTTACAAGAACACATTGTCATTGACATTATTACACAGTCCTCCAGTCATACACATTTCTTCATTACTCTTCATTTGGGAATTTCCGAATAATAGCATGATTACATAAATAAATAACTGGTGAATTGTCGTCTAAAAGATTTGTGTACGATATAAGAGATGCATATTCTGTTACATATTTTTGACAAAATTAATGGTTGGGAACTGAATGCGAATATTAATCGCAAAGGTTCGGGTGTATGGGGTAATTTCAAGAGTCAATAATCTACTAAAAATAAACTGAGGGTTTCTAACTGAAATCGTTGGAAAAGTTCGTATTTAAGGATTTCCGTCTATATATAGCAGTACTATTAAGTATTATGCTAGCTACGAAAATGCAATGTATTTTTAATTAATATAACAAAAAATGTGATTTTTTGGTGTCCTTCATTTGAAATTTTAAAATAGAATTTTCATTTGAAATAAGAAACTGGTTCAATTTAAGCAAATTTTTATATAGAAGCTATGAGAACATTTTACAAGAGTTATGATAACATTTTACAAAAACCAAAAAAAAAGTACATAGAATTCAGAAAAATTCATGATTTTTTTTTTTTGAATAAATTATACGGTCTATAAAAAATAATGTTTGAAGATTACTTCATACGAATGAGTCGTTAAATATTGTTAAATGATATTAATTTTGTTTGTTGCTTTGTGCTCTTAAACACGATAGAATATTTAACGTAACATATTTTGTAAACTTTTTTAGAAAACTAAGCATTGTAAGCAGAACCTAAAATGGACTTAAAACACTTTCAAAATAAACGACTCAAATGTTGAACGCGACTGCGCACAGTGGTCGAAATCTTTGATTTAGCGGTGCTAAATTGATGACTTCTCATCCATATGAGATATGTTGGTAAAATTTAGCTCAAATTCTGCCCATACCTATGGGAATTAGTGGACCGAATATGTACTAGATCGGATTTTTCGTACTAATCCATATGAGATATGTTGCTAAAATTTTGCTCAAATTCTGTCTATACTTATGGGAATTAATTAATAATTAATTAATCACTGACTTTTAATTATTAATAATTTTTTCGATCGAATTGGCTATTGGTATGACGCTAAATTACTATAATTTGAGGATTTTGGACTCATTTTTAAGGTTCTGATCAGCCGGATTGACAGGTACTGGCAGCCAAAAATTGGTTTTATACCCTCAGCCTTATGGCTAATACGATAAAATGATAGTGTAA